GTGTGAGACAAGTTTTATATAACAAAGCTCATAGATGAATCATCGCTTACATTGTCTTAAAAAGAAGAAAGATTTTAAAAGCAATAGTGGTTTAAATTTTTTAAAGTATCAGAATATTCCTCTTTATAAAGCTAATCACACATACTTTGAAGGCCCACCATAATTCTCAGATAAAAACTTTAAAATAGCTTCTGGATATATTAAAAATGATACCAAGTAAAACATTACAATAATAAAAAAATTTAGTTATGGACATTTTAAGTTTTAATATAACACTGTTAAAAAATTAAAAACTTTTATTATTAGAGATATAATAGAACTTTTAGTGCATTCTAAATATATTCAGTAAACATTTTTAAAAACATCTTAGTATAGAGATGTTCATCTTTACATCACCAACAGTGACCCAGTGGTGTAATGTGATACACCATTTTAACAGCAAAGGAGATTAACCCAATAGTGTTTTTAAAAGCTACAACTTACATATTTTTTTCTGAAAGTTTAAATACAACAACACTAAGGTCTATTTTTAACCTATAGAATCATTTTACTTAAAATGTTTCTGAAAAGTCTAAACAATGCATGAAAGTATCAGAAAAATATAAAAGTATTTCAGCTCTTGCATTCCCATATACATTGGTGAAAGAAACAGTAATTTGAAAATATCTAGAAATTTTAAAATATGTTTTTCTACCATTATAACTGGTCACTCAACACTAAGTTCTTTTTTCTACATAATTAAGCTTTTGTTCAGCCATAAAAAAACTAGAAACTGATTGCTTGAAAATGAGCTGCATGTCTTTTGTCCTGGTTTGTCACCTTTGACCCTTAATTTGATGATCCTGCATATCAACCCATGCTATTTTTAGTAAAATAATGTCAAAATTCTATACTTAAAATAGTACTTTTTACTGAAATATTAAATGTATTACATTTCTTTTCAGGTAATTTCTACCATTATTTCATATCAATGTTCATCTCACACAATGTAGAGCACAATATATTACTGTGAGAAATGAAATCTTGTGGTGAGTTCAGCTGTGAATAGAAAATTTCCCAAAAGTGCTAGGTCAAGATCATTACAGATTCAAAACTTCTATTCTTTACACAGAAAACTGCATATATCGTTTCTAAGCGGAATTTGTTTCATGTGTAATTTCTAATTTGGCTATGTTTGATAATTTCAAACCAACATCAAAATATGAACCTAAATCAAAAACTGAAAACATGAAAGTTTATACTCCACCTTACTGCAGTATCAACTAAAATTAGTTCTTGAGTAATTCATTAGATGCTTAAACCTGTTTAAAAATCCTTGTTATCATCTGCAAATGGCAGCTTTCAAAGAAAAAGAAAATGTCTAGCATTGGTCCTATTGATTTTACTGATATTATTCAAAATCAATGTTGTACAGTAAATCAATGTACTTCCAAGATAAAATTTCTCTACCATAATTTCTAGATGATTGCAATGCAATATGGTAGTTTTTTAATTAAGTAAAAAATGTATGAAATACATAATCTCCACCATCATGATGCTACTTGAACCTCAATACAATTTCCACAGTTTTCAGATAGACTTAGCAGTGGCCAATACGGCTGTCTTGATTCAGCACTATGGTCAGCGACTTCATAGACTCACTGTCAGATTCAACACAATATTATTGTACACATATGTAATGGGCAAGTTTCTCGGCCCAATGTAATTCTATATATGACATATTTCTAGATATATTTGTATCAATCAACCTGAACGTAAAGAATTTTCATTGTTCTGCTTGGCAATCTAGAAATTTTACTTTGTAGTTCATTGAAAATAGTACTGATTCATAAAGAAAAATTTTAAAAGACAAGA